ACTTGTATCCAGAGTATATGAAGAATAAATAAAGAACTTTCAAAACTTAATAGAAAACAACTAACAAACCTATTTTTTAAAAAAATTAGCAAAATATGAATAGTCACTATGTAGCTACTGAATCGGTTTTTGAAAAGACGCTCATCATCATTAGTCATTAGGGAAATGTACATTAAAACTACAAAGAGATACTAGTACATACCTATTAGACTGGATAAATTTTAAAACACTGACCATACCAAGAAGTTATCACTCCTGATGTAAATGTAGATCAACTGCTTTGGAAAACAGAGATTTTATTTAAAAGTTAAACATACAACTACCATGTGATCCAGCCATTTCATTCCTAGGTATTTTTCTAAAATAAATAAAAGCATATGTCCATATAAAGACTTGTATACAAATGACCATATTATCTTTGTAGTACCCCAGAACTCAACACAAATGCTGATCAACTATTATAGTACACATATATGTATTACTCAGTAATAGGAAGAAAAATTCCTGATAAACACAACAACATAGACGAATCTCTAAATTACTATGGTAGTGAAAAAAGACAGGGAAAAAGAAAGGTATACTATATTATGCCACTTACATACAAGTTTAGAAATCTCAAATTAAAAAAAAATCTCAAATTAGTACATAGGAACAAAAAACAGATCAGTGATTACCTGGGGAAAAGAGGAAGGATTCAAAGGAGCACAAAATTTGGGGTGATAAAAATTTTCATTACCTTGATTTTGGACATATATACATTTATCAAAACATAAAATTGCTTATTTTGTATGTTATTATGTGTTTATTATAGCTCAATATTTTTCAAAAAAAGAATTAGTGAGTATATTCAGATAAAACTTTCTAGATGGAAGAAAGAGGAGGAAGAAAAGTTAAAAAGTGGATGCTTTCCCTGTTAGATACCTACAACAAAATATCATGGTGCTATACTAGTTACCGTATTCTTTATAGGTGCATTCTTGTGTGTCACAATATTGAGTAGTAGAAGGAATTGTGTTATCTTCATACTAGGAAAGGTAAACAGATGTCAAAGAACTATGTTCTTCTGAATATACTAACAGATTCTGTGACATACATCTTATGTATAAGCAGGAACATTTAGCCCCTCAAAATATCATAAAATAATGGAATAGAGAATATATCACTATGCAAGTAACTTATATGTAATCTTATGAAGAAAAATAAGCATATGATATGTTGGAATAAAGCATAAATTAAATAGGTAACATGAAAAAAATCTTTTCTTTCAGAGAAATAAAATAAATTTAAGACAGAGACTAAAAGTGTGTTATAATTACCTAAGGCAGTGTATATACAACAAAATTAAGAGTATTTGTGATTAGGAAAAGTCAGTTACTTTTAACCATTTTCATAGTCTGGCAAGGGAAAAATACTTCCAAATTGAAAATCACAATAGTTGATGATTATATTATTTTTACATGGTATTGTATATGCTTTTAAAATCTTATTCTTCTCCATGTTCCATTCCAAACTTTTCTAGTATCAGTGTGAATGATTAAGTAGTAATCCTTGAAAAGCATTCCAGAAAACCTCCAAGTAGATAATTTTAGAATGAAAGCTATAATTGAGTTGCATTTACCCAATATCATGATCTTGAACAGAAGTGCTTTTTACAGAAGTTATAGTTGCTTTAAACTAAGTTCTAAATCATTTTACCTTTAGCATTTTGTCACCAATTAGTTTATCTTTTTATTCAGGGGAAAGTAAGTAAAAAACATGAACAGATAATTCTCAAATAAACAGAAACATGTGAAAAGACATTCAACCTTACCACTAATCTAATAAATGCACATATATAATATTAAGAAATTAATTTGTAGATAGTCATTAAAAATGCAAATAGTGATGATCTCTCCATGTATTTGGGGTTACTTTTAATTTCTTCTTTGCATTTCAATTTACTCCCTGACTTTTTCAATGAACATATATCATTCTCACAAAATAAAGTATTTTAAAACTGCCTTACTAGTTGTTTTCAGAAAAAGTCTAGATAATGGATCAGAAAAAAATAATTTAGAAACAGACTGAAGTAATTTAATTAAGGTGATAAAGGTGGTATTTCATGTATATGGGTCAGAAACATCTTCAAATAAATGTTACTAGGAGAATAAGCTAGCTAATAAAAATAATTCCAAAAAATCTGGATCTTTACTCAGCACTGACTCTAAAAATACCAGTTCCAGATGATACAAAATTTAATATGTATATGAAAACATTAAAGTGCCATAAAACATAAAAGCATCCATTAAAAGTCTATCATTTAAAATAAAAATAATAAATTACAGAACAATATTTATAGTGTAATCCAATTTATTTAAATGTTTTCCATAGTACATGTTTTAATTAAAATTATGCAATGAAAAAATAGGCACTCAGTAAGTTTTATTCACCATTATAGTACCATCCTCTCTTACTCACGACTGGTACATAACAGTCACAAAAACATAAAATGAGTTGAATGGTCAGTAAATGAAATCATATGTATTGTTGGTAGGACTATAAATTGTTATAACCTTTCCTGAGAGAGTTGTAAACGTGTATAAAATCATAATTTCATAGCATAAAAGGATCATTTTCATTTCTAGAAATTTATCTGACTAATTTTCTTTTTCTCTTTTTTTGGCCAGGGCTGGGTTTGAACCCACCACCTCTGGCATATGGGACCAGTGCCCTATCCTTTTGAGCCACAGGTGCCGCCCTATCTGACTAATTTTCACACGTGCACAGAAATGCATACTTTATATATCCAGGTCCGATATTTTATGTAAAAGGAAAAACCTGTGTATGTAAGAGGAGAGATGATACAGAAATAGGTGAACTACAACAGGAATCTGGCTAAATTAAGGCAATTATGTCCACAGCATATACATTTATTCAAAAATGTTCAGCATTTGCTATGAAAACATAGCCATAATTAGTTGATAAATTAAATTATCAGATTACAAACAGTAATACACAAATATGCAGGTGTGTATATGCACAAGGAAATTTCTGGAAGGAAATGCATCAGAATGCTAACAATGGTTATTATTTGGTTGTTAAGACTGCTTTTACTAACACTGTAATTTTCTGTATTGGAGTTTTAATTTTACAATGCTCATATACTTTGACAGTATGAGAAAAACAATAAAAGTAAATTAATTTACAAAATAGAAAATCATTTCCTAAATTTAAAAAAATATTTGACTAAATGACAAAACACAAATCCCATAATAAAAAAAGGCAATATAAAGGTTAACCTAACTTTAATATCTTTCCTCATTGCAAATGAATAATTCATCATATTTTATATTTTAAATTACTGCTTGTATTCTATGACCAGGTTGAGATTGTGAATGTGGTTAAATATGTTATTTTCTACACTAGTATGCCAAATCCCCTCTGTGGATTTTCCTGCTTCCATAGAAATGTCAAGGTATTGTCCAACTCAATCTCTAAAAGACTATCTCCTGTAAATTTGTATTCAAATACAGATGAGTAATTTTTGTCATTCATAAAAATGGGTTAAATATGCTTCTTACCTTTCAATGAAAAGTAAACACTGGTCTTTTTGATTGTACCAAGGGAGTTGTTCTGTAGCAGAAAAGACTCCTGTAAATAAAAATAACAAATATCTGTTTTTAAACTTCATTTTGCAAATGTTTATCAACATATTACTGGAATTATCATACCTTACTACGGCTAGAATTTTACAATAGTAAAAGGAAATGGGTGACAGAGAATATCGCTTATACACTGAGAGGATGCACTTTCATTAGCACAAATTCCCCCTCCCACGCTGCTGTTTGTGGAATCAAAACATGCTGCACAAAAGTATAAAACAAACCATCTGCTTTTTAATAATACTACTTAGCATTTGAATACCCCTTTGTTTTATCTGCAAGGTTGTTGCAAGCATTTCTGAGGACTACGTGGCAAGTTAGTGGCGAGGTTGGGGTATATTATATACCGGTTTAAAATGAGAAATATAATAAAAATGGTGTAACTGACTCACGGCAACATGGGTTCGCAAACCTTGTAGATGAACATAAACCAGGCTTGCCAAACATCACAGACTGCACTTATTAAATCTGCTACGTGGACTGCAATATGCCTGTCTAGCCCCTCCCCCTCTGCCAATAAAAGACTCCCCCCTTTTTTTTTCCAGTGTGAAAATACAAGCTCATAGAATATTTAGAGAAAATTGCAGGTTTTTAATCGTCCGTAGTCACACTACCCAATGACGCCATTTAATCCATTTTCTTCCAATTTTTAAAAACATATTTTTGTCAAAAGGCCCGTGACAAACCAAAAGGGAGTTCAGGATGGACGGATAGAAGACATTCTTCTTCTTCCCTTGTTAGGAACTATGGCTGGTATTTTTACCTCATGTCTACGCTTTTGCTTTTTTTAAATTATAAAACTATAAAGACGTAATTCTGAGGTGGTACGAAAACTCCCCCCGCCATTCAGGAGTATGCGCCTCAGTCACCACGTAGCGTCCGGTGAGATGACTGGAGAAGGGGGGTGGCGGGCGAGGGGTTACGTTTGGCCATTCATTGGGCATAAAGTTTGTCAATCAAGGTTGTTCAACAAATGAGGAGCCTACCAAAGGTACACTGGGAACGAAATTAGCAGGTCTGACTACAGGGGGAGGGGGCTCGCGATCTAAAACGAGAAGAGATCTCAGGGTCTCGTATTGCGCCATTAGGCTGCGGCACTTCTCGGTACCCTGCAGCGGAAGTCGGGAGAGGCCTTGTAGCCGCTGTTCTCACCCTGCCTCCACTGCCGCTGCCACCTCAGCGCCGGCTGCTCCAGCCTCAGCCCTGCCCCGCGCTACTGCTGCTATCGCTGTTGCCGCCTCCACAGCCTGAGTCTCCGCTGCTGCCACCCCAGCATCCGTGAGTCATTTACTGCCCATCTCTGAGCGCGCGGTCTCTCTGCGGTAGTCACCACCTAAAAGAGATTTGCAGGCTTGCAAGATGGCAGAAGCTGATTTTAAAATGGTCTTGGATCCTGCCGCGCAGGGGGTTGCTGAAGAGGAGATAGCTAGCTCGGCTAGTGATCCTGGGGAAGAATCTGACAGCAGTAGCTCTAGCAGCAGCACTAGTTGTAGCAGCAACAGCAGCAGCAGTAGCAGCAGCCGCTGCTATAAAAAGAAGAGAGTACCTGAGCCATTCAAAAGGGCGGGGCGGGCTCCTTCTGGTACAAATTTTGTGCATAGGCTGCCTCAGGCAGTTAGAAATCGTGTGCAGGCGCTCAGAAATATTCAAGATGAATGTGACAAGGTAGACGTCCTGTTCTTAAAGGCAATTCATGATCTTGAAAGAAAATATGCGGAACTCAACAAGCCTTTGTACGATAGGCGATTTCAAATCATCAATGCAGAATATGAGCCTACAGAAGAAGAATGTGAATGGAATTCAGAGGATGAGGAGTTCAGCAGTGATGAGGAGGTGCAGGATGACACCCCTAGTGAAATGCCTCCCTTAGAAGGTGAGGAAGAGGAAGACCTTAAAGAAAAATCTGAGGTGAAGGCTGAAGAGAAGGAAGTTCCTAAAAATATTTCTGAGATAAATGCTGAAGAGAAGGAAGTTCCTATAGAAATTGCTGAGGTAAAAGCTGAAGAAGAGGAAGTCCCTAAGGAAATTGCCAAGGTAAAATCTGAAGAGAAGGGAGTTCCTAAAGAAATTCCTAAAGTAAAGGATGAAGAAAAATCAGATTCTGAAGATTGTATGGAGATGACATCTGAAGTAAAAGAAGATCCTAAAAGAGTTCCCCAGGCAAAGGCAGAAGATAAACAACCTAAAGCAACAGAAGTTAAGACAAGGGCTAGAATAAGGGAGTCTCATAAAAGAATTCCTGAGGAAAGGCTTAAGGAAAGAGTGAATCTTAAAAGAGCAAGGAAGGGGAAGCCAAAAAGAGAAGATCCTCCTAAAGGCGTTCCTGATTATTGGCTGACTGTTTTAAAGAATGTTGACAAACTCGGGCCTATGATTCAGAAGTATGATGAGCCCATTCTGAAGTTCTTGTCTGATGTTAGCCTGAAATTCTCAAAACCAGGCCAGCCTATTAGTTACACCTTTGAATTTCAATTTCTACCCAACCCATACTTCAGAAATGAAATGCTGATGAAGACATATATAATAAAGTCAAAACCAGATCACAATGATCCTTTCTTTTCTTGGGGATGGGAAATTGAAGATTGTAAAGGCTGCAAGATAGACTGGAGAAGAGGAAAGAATGTTACTGTGACAACTACACAGAGTCACACAACCTCTACTGGAGAAATTGAAATCCAGACAAGAGTGGTTCCTAATGCATCATTCTTCAATTTCTTTAGTCCTCCTGAGATTCCTAAGATTGGAAAGCTGGAACCACCAGAAGATGCTATCCTTGATGAGGACTTTGAAATAGGTCAAATTTTACATGATAATGTCATCCTGAAATCGATCTATTACTATACAGGTGAAGTCAATGGCATCTACTATCAAGATGGCAGAGATTATGGAAACAGAAAATATTGAAAACAAAAAAGAAGTTTACAGATTTTTCAAGAATCGTAAATTTCAATAAGTGAAGAAAGTTGAGATAGACTTGGAAAAAAAGCCTTCCATATGATATGCTGTTATTCCTCACAGTCTTGTGTTTTCCTATTTTTTTAGCAGTCTGTTTAAAATACTGTCCTTAAAACTGTCTAAGTATCAGTTTATTCCAACTAGCCTATAGTAGTGTAATGTTGAAAACATGTAAACTATTGTCAATAATCTAAAGCATGTTAGTTTGGTGCTAGAGTGTTGATTTTTGTGAAGTCATGTTTCCTTTTATCGTGTTCCTATCAGACTGTATTTATGAAAACTGTCAAAATTGTTAACTGAGACAAATATTTGCTTGAAAAAAAAAAGTTTATAAAGTACAGTTGCAATTTTTTTCTTTTTCTCGCCAGAAGACTAGTTTAAATCAGCTTGCACTAGCTGTGCCTTCATTATTTTGCTATAAAAATACAATACTTATACTAACTAGAACAATGTATTGTGAAATTTGCTTTAAAAAAGATTAGCACACATTTAATAATGTCAAAACTACATTTGATAAGACTGTGAGCTTGTTTATGTGACTTAATGTATAAATCTATCATAATAGTGTTACTGTTTACCACTGAGGTATTGCTATGACATAGTATTTTAAAAAAGAGTTCCCTTATATTGTGTAAGTTTAAGGATAGCACATTTTCTTTGTAGTATGTTGTGCTTTGTCTTTCATGAATATCACTTTGCATCATTTGATACTGTTTATTCATGTTATTTTATTGTAACCTAAAATAAAGTGTCAAATGAAGCATGTCATGCTATTAAAATCTAGCATTGGTTCCTAATCATAAATATATGTGTTCCATATAACAAAGGTATAAAATCCTGAGGTAAAGGAAAGTTTAACAATATGACTATTGTTAACATTCTGTTTCCCACACCTGAGCTCTTTTACTGGAGGATACACATTGAAGTTATTAGAGAAAAATGGGATGGAAAGGAGAAAGACAAGGAGGAGAGAGAGGAAGGGAAGAGGAAGAAGAAGGAAAAGGGAGGAAAGTGGAAATAGAGACCAAAGGAGGGTAGGGAGGAGGGAAAGGAGATGGGTGGGAAATGGAAGGAATGGGAGGGGGGAGGATTGGGATAATTAAAGATGAGAAGGGAAGGAGGGTGGATTAGCCTCACCCAGAGAAACCATTTATGTAAGACAAGTGGGACTCACTGTCCACCTTGACTTGAGGAGGTCACACAATACCATGGTTCATTTTTTTTCTTACAGTGACATCAGGCTTTCACCTCTTATGCACCATGCAGTTGGTCATAGAGTAATTAGATCCTGACATTTTGGTTTGAGACTAATATGAAGCGGAAGCCCCCAAAACTCAGTTTACCAGAAAGGTTTGCACTGGCCATAACGGCAAAAACACAGCAAATAATAAAGTGGTATCTTCACATTTGCCATTTCCTGGTCCACATTTATTTTCCCTGAAGATATTACAAGAAAGAGACTGGAGGAAGACAGGATTTGAGAATTCAATGTCTATAGCCATAAAATTAGCTAATAGACTTCCCAAATCCCACAATATATAGTTGAATGTCTTGCTTTTACCTCTGCTTAACAAGTTTTCCCCTATGTATATTAATGTAAAAGTATTAAACCCATTATGTATTATATTTAAACAGACACATGTGTTTGAATATCTATTTTGTTTATGATGTATATAACAATCCCACTGCATTTTTGAGAGATCCTCTGTTTTGTTTCTGATATTTTTTTTTGCATCCATGAAGAATGAATATGGCAGATTTTACTTGTATGCTGGAACCAAAATGAAGACTATAATAAACGTGGCACACCTGGTTCATGGCTACATAGGTTCCCAAATTAGATATGGACTGTGCTTGCTAGATGTTGCAGATAGCAGAACCCTTAACTTTTAAATGGGACAGAACACAGTGGCTCATGCCTGTAAGACTAGCAATTTGAGAAGCAGAGACAAGAGGATCCTTTGCTTGGGCAACATAAGGAGACCTCCCGCTTCAAAAATAAAAAGAAATAAGAGAAATTAGCCCAGTATGGTGGCACACTCCTGAAGTTCCAGCTACTTGAGACTAAGGTGGGGGAATTCTTGAGCACAGGAGTTTGAGCCTGAAATGAGTTATGATCATGCCAGTCCCACTTCAGCCTGGGAGTCAAAGTGAGACCCACCATAATAAATAAATACAGACATAAATACATAAATGCAATTCAACATCCTTTTTCACCTTGGAACTCAACCAAAGTATTTTAGCACCTCCTCCCTCTGGATTTTCCATATTAAAGGAACATGCATTGTTCTGGAATATTTACAGAAAATAAAAATCAACTCAGAAGTACACCACTACAATAAGATATACTCAGTTTGTGGATTTCTGTATTTTCTCATAGTCCTTCTCTTTTTAAAATTATATCATAAGTCGTTCAGCTCATATAAAAAGGTGATTTCAAGTTGTGTGAGTGTAAGAGAAGCTAATTGGAAAAGAAGCATAGTGCTATTTTTAACTTTAAAATTTAAGTGGGGAGGGGGATATGGGCGGAGGTGCCAAGGATTTATCCATAAGTAAAGTGGGAATTCCTTCAAAGGTAGCGATCTGTAGCGAATGTGTAAACCACCTCTGGAGACTGAAGGAGTAGACAGAGCCAGGAAACCCATTGGACTGGCACATTTACTAGAGTGTATCTTTGTCCATCCTACTTGCTCAGCCAGTGTGTGACATAAGAAGCAAAAACTGGCTGGGAAAGAAGCTAAAAGACACAGGACAGGGGGCTGGAAGTATGAGATGCATTTAACTGAGTCTTTCTCTGCACCTTCCTTCTAATGTGCTGTTTATTTTTGCTGAGACTCAAAGCTGAGGCCAGCCCTTTGCTGTCCTCAATACAGAGGAGATGGTGTCATCTCTTTTTCTCCCCCTTCCTCTTCTTGCTCCACCTGCCACCTCCTCCAAAAGTTCATGTCCTGAGTTGGGCACTGAGAATCCACAGTAGTCACTCAACATTTGCTCTTTTCCTTTAATGTGACAGGCTTACATAAGAAGGTACTTTGGTAAGCAGCTAAAGAGGCTTCTGAAAAGGAAATAGAAGGAACTTAAGCTTAATGAATAAAGTGATAACATAAACAAATAATGCAAATGCAGATTTTGTAGCCTAGACTAAGCCAAGTCTGGGACTGCCCCTCTGGCGACACTGCTGCTGTGTTTGCTCTTAAAAAGCTTCAGGGGCAATGTGATAAGATAGAAGTTGACTTTGATCAGAGTTGCAAACTGTGGAGAAAAAGTATGCACCCTCACTTGATGAAGTGGTTGAGCCTACTGGCGTGTGTATGACGACGGTGTAGAGTTGTGCCTGAAGCTTCAATTCAGTTTTGTCTCATTATTATTTTCTCTCAAAATTATGTCTTTTGCCAGAAACCATTCTCCCCTCAATTTATGGTGTCCTCTTCTGCTGTATCACAAGTTATCAAATGAGCTGTAGGGCAGCATAATTCAGTGAAATACCTTTATTTACAGGTGTTTGTGGTGATCTTGTACAGATAATTTCTGTTCATCTCAGTGGGCAAAATCTACAGAAATACCTCTTGGGTCTCTCTTCATGTCGAAGCAGTCTCTAGAGGCTCTCAGCCAATAAAGATGATATGCTGGTCTAATTTCTCCTTTAATTTAGCTCCCCTTCCATGTATAGAGCTGTTTCCCTTTGGGGTCATTCCTTGTTACTTTCACTGTCTGCCACAGCCCTGAATCAAATGATTGGACCTCGAACATAAGGGAATTTGTGACCTACCTGATACCTATAGAAGAAAGCATTGGCTGAGGGTATTGTTTAGTCCAAATTGCACGGTTATAGGAAGATATTGTTTTCAGTATGTGGCTTGATGTTGTGACTATTTCCTTGATTCAGTGAAGATCATTTATTCCTTCTTTTTTTTATTCAGATGAATCTGGTGCTTAGCCAGGAATGAGAACCATAGAGCAACATAGAGAGGAATTTCCTAGAAGGGAGTATGCAGTGCCTTTTAAATGTATTAACCCAATAAAACTTTTTTCTTTTTTGCAGCACAGTTATTAATAATTATTCTAAATGAACAGCATTTTATAAATACCAGATTAATGGACACTGGGTTTTGCAAAATAAGTAAATTAGCCTAGCTTTACCTATAAGTAAAGACATCCTTAATCACTAATTTTTAAATATTTATTTTGAGATGATTTAAGTTACACAGTGACAAAATCATACAGATTATTACATAAATGGATTTATATAGTATGTAACTTTTTGAAATTATACTGTTTAGCCTCAGTATAATTATCTTGATATCCATCCAAGTTGTACCTGTATTAAAAATTTATTTTTAATTTATTAAATTAAAAATTTATTGGATTTATTTTCTTGGTGAATAGAATATATTATTGTGTTAACTATTAATCTGTGATCATTCTGTAGGAAATAAAACCAACTGAAAAGGATGTATTAGTACTGCTAGTAGATAAAACTTACTGTAGGTAATAAATAATAGATTACAAGGTTCTTTTTTCTAAAGTGTGAAAGTGTTATAGTATCAAAACAAAATACTTACATAATGTTTGTTGTATGACAGGTATGCACATATTATTATTCAAGTAATCCATACTAAAGCCCTATTAAGTAGGAATAATTATTATGTTTGTTTAACAGATAGAGAAACTGAGGTACAGTGAGTAACTTGTCCAAGCTTACACAATGGGTAAGTGGCAAAGTCAGTGTTTAAATCTGACAGTCTGTCTAGAGCCTATGTTCTTAACTACTGTATTATACCACCTCTCCACCACCTAGAAAAGCACGTTTTTTTTTTTGTTGTTGTTTTTTTGGGTTTTTTTTTTTTTTTGTCTCCTTCCCTAGATAGGGCCACGGGAAACAGCAAAGAAGTAATAAGCACAACCAGCAGGCAAAGAGAATACCTATCTATAGAAGAAAATTAAGAATTCCATCTTAACTAGCAGTGTACCCCACCCAGTCCACCTATGGCTCATATCTGAGTAATGTTGTCAAGGTTGATAGCTTAGTGAGACTACTGAGTAGGAGTTAGTATCTGGGTCATATCTATCATACCTAGGAATATGATAAAAACTGGCTTGCTAAATTTACATTTATTTTTTTTTTTTTAGACAGAGTCTCACTTTGCCACCCTAAGTAGAGCCCTATGGCATCAAGCTCACAGCAACCTCAAACTCTTGGGGACAAGTGATTCTCTTGTCCCATCCTTCCGTGTAGCTGGGACTACAGGCACCTGCCACAGT